TTATTACTATTGTTATTAGTATTATGCCGATTATTATTATCATCATTATTATCATTATTGTAAGAAAAGTTTTAAAAAGCCAGTCCACTAACCAATATCTTGAAGGTGTACTGTAGATTGGGTGACTCGGCCACACAGCCAAACTCGAGGTTGTCTGGGTCGTACTTGGGGATGTAGCCGTCCGTACCGGAGCACAGGAACACCTTCTCCACGTTCAGGTCGAAGGAATTGCCCAGGTTCTGTATGGGGTCCACGTTGATGCGACCGTAGATCTTGTCAGCTGGGTGAAGACAAGTCCTCGGAGATTAGTACAAAATTCTATCGTTTTTTAGAATAATTTTAGAATAATTAAGGGAAGGTGGTACTGAAATGTCCATCTCTTTAGATTCGCCATATTTATTATACACAATGTCTTGTATTATCACTGTGTTCACCATAATTTTATAGGAAATGATTAGATATTTTAATTTGATAAAATCATCATTCATCGAAAACTGAGATGTTTATTATGTAATGGTTACCTCACAATTTTGGACACTGAAATAATCCTAAAGCTTTTTAATTTTTTAAAGCAATTTCTTTATTTTTATTTGGTAAGATCTTTAACTACCACAATGCAAAACTTTTGTCAACAAGAAACCTGCAAATTTCAATTATTTTCGTTTTAGCAGCCCAATTTTTGTAGCACCTTCCCTTAATATGGACTAGCCTGGATATAGCAGAATGTGCGACGGCAGCTAACTCGCAACCGTGAAGGATGGAGGGTCATTACACGTCAACCTCTGAGTCAAGGATGACACCTCCAGGTTCCAGGTAATATGAGTGGGATTTTTTTACGCATCTATCAACACAATTTAGATCATTTATGAGGAGGGCTTCGACCCTGCCTGTCAGGGCCAACCCGGGCTGAATGGGATACACCGTACAAGCAGAAAGACTGACATACTCGATAAAAAAAATTATCCCCGCAAGAGAATTGAATCAGTGTCTTCTGCTAGTGACAGTGAAGTGATTTTTTTCGGGGGTGGGGGGGGGGGGGTAGATGGGGTTCTCGTGGTCTAGAGATACAGCGTTCACCTCTCATTCAATAGACCCACTGCACAAAAGATGCTGGTACTTTTAAATTGACTTGGTGAATGCTTCAGGAGAACAAGAAGACATACAAATGTACCATAATATCTTACAGAATTTTGTTCTTAATTTCTCCTGAGCAGAGAATCTACTGCTCTGAAATATCGTTGCTGTCGCAAGCAATTCATTTAAGTCCAGAAATTTCAATTTTTACACCCTTCCAAAACTCCACCAAAGCTACACCTTTTAACATCACCAAAATGCAGTTTAATGTCTTGTAAAGGCTTACAATTATTTTTTTTTTTATTTTTTTTTTGCTTTCATGATTCCTGGTAGGAACAACACAACAAAAACGAGGAGTTTTTAAAAAATCTTTTGTGTAAAAGGCTAAAACAGCACCTGGACATGGATGGCTGGTGCCTCTATAAATAAATCATTGATGGTCTGGTGTAAAAGTACTCAAATGGACACAAGTGCAATGCTTGCAAACCGATAACCTAACCTTTGGCTCATCTGTCTGTATTGAGCGCATAGCACATACTTTTATTCTATTTCAATCGCAATTCACCCAGGTGGGAATGAATACCCAGCTATAGACAGCAAAAGAACTTATCAGAACGTTAGTGTTTTAGCGTCCATAAATGACAGCTTGACCTGTGTGCTTCCCAGGAAGTTGAGAATGTTTCAGAATGCTATCAGGTCTGATGGGGTAATAGTATAGATTGTAAAGCGCATAGAGCTTGCTGTTGAGCAGGAAGAGAATTTGCTCTATACAAATGCTACTTATTAAAATAATAATTATTAACATACCAGGTATGAGCAAACTACGGCCAGCAGGCCACACCTGTCATCTGTAACATAACATAGGTGGTGGGTTTTTTTTGAGTTGTTGGAGGGGGCTGTGGTAATCTTAAAATCTCAAAAGGTAACAACCAAGAACTCACTGGGCAAAAATGCGATGTCTGTCTCATCTCCTATGTCATGATCTTCCTCAGACAGCCACAGTTCCCTCTTGCGCATCAGATGGAACTCTGTGTTGAGGCTGAACTCTGCAGGTACAGGGTCGCTCACTTGCTGGAACCTGATAGGCAGCTCAAAGCCGATTGGCTCACGGGGGCTGCAGCTGATTGGCTGAGAGTACTCCTGATCCAGTGACGTAGTACACGGGATGAGCTGGACGTTGAACTGACCGGAGTAGTCGCGGACCTAGAGGGAGGGAGTTGATGAAAGGGTCAGTTATAATATGGTGAATGGTTTGGATTTCTCTGTCTCTCTGTCTCTCTGTCTCTCTGTCTCTCTGTCTCTCTCTCTCTCTCTCTCTCTCTCTCTCTCTCCAGAAAGGGAACAACGCATGCAAGAAAAACAACAACAACAACAACAACAACAACAACAAAACTACAACCGATTTTCACGCATTATTGAACTCCGGCTGGTGGCAGAGAGACGTCCCTTTCTTCCCGCGACACCCAAAGGGGTACAAGCGGCGGATAAAAGTAAAAGTAAAGTATTAAACTCACAGAGAGATCCGACTGGAAGCTCCACTCCTGGCTGGGCTGGTCAAATGTCGGGTCACTGCGGATCAACTTGAGGCTAAAGGTCAAGTCGGGATGGTCTGATGACATGACCATGGACTCGAGGCTTGAACCTGGGTGGGTGGCGACGAACTGACCACGGAATCTCGCCTCGGTGCGGAAGGAGACCACAAGTTTTCCCTCGTCATCAAGTCTCATGCTGGTTGGGTACATGTAGCCTGGGAATGATTTGCACGATGGTAGAAAGAGATTGAAGGTAATAAATGTGCGGCATTTTGGGAAACTTAAGTGCTTGTCAAAATAATCAAATCGAAGAAACCAACACTTTCCTGTCCATTGGGAAAATTTTATTCTATTTTTATTTTAAAATATACATTTTTTGGGATTAACACCTTTCGTGTCCCTTTAAAGACACATTTCTGTGTCAATCCTCATGCTGGTTGGGTACATGTAGCCTGGGAATGATTAGCACGGTGGTAGAAAGACATTGAAGATAATAAATGTGTGGTATTGTGGGAAAATTAAGTGCTTGTCAAAATAATCAAATCGAAGAAATTAACACTTTCCCGTCAATTGGTAAATTCTATTTAATTTCATTTTCATTTTGAAATATAATTTTTTTGGCTTAATACGTTTTGTGTCCCTTTAAAAACACATTTCTCTGTCAATTCTCATGCTGGTTGGGTACATGTAGCCGGAGAACCAGAAAGATGGAAGAAATAGATTGAAGGTAATAAATGCGGCAGTGTGGTGAACACTGATGTCAGGCGCTCATCAAAATAATGAAATCAAAGAAACCAACACTTTCCCACAGGTTGGGATATGTTTTATTTTATCTTTATTTTTAAAGATATATTTATACTTTTTGGCTTCACACATTTTGTGTCCCTTTTAAAATACATTTCTTTGTGAGAATTTTACTGAAAAACGTTAATTAAAGGCACGCCAAAAAATATACAGTTTTAGTTTCCAAGGACACTCAAGCTTTGGAAGTCCACTAACCTTTGGTGGCCATTATCTCTTTTATTTTACTTTACGTCTGATACCAGGCGACA